CCCCAAATGTTCAGTCCATTGCAGATGTGACCAAGGCAAGTGCCCCCTGTCCTGTTTGTCTCCATGTAGAGAAGCAGATGCGGTTTGCTCCTCTAGCATTTGTCTGTTGTGTGATGACACCCAGCACAAGAATGTGGAAAGGCCACACTCCCATAGAGCTGCTGAGCAGGGCAGATCAAAACCTGTTCTTTGGAAAAACAACAAACAAAGCCCTGGGTGGAAGCCATGGTAAAACATGACAGCCTGCAGAAGACTAGGCTCCCTAGATCCCAGTGAGCAGTGTGCATTAGCAGGCAGCAGCAGAAAAGTTCAAAGCAGGTATTTGCCCGGCCTAACGCTTTAAACTTATGTAGCACGCATCCATTGTAAAAGGCTTTCAGGTAAACAAGATTTGACTCTAGCTTTGTCACTTCTGTTCACTCGTCCCTCTGCACAGACGCCCAAGAGACTGCTTTCTCCTCTTCGTGTTATATTTTCTTAGCAAAAGCCTTGGAAGTGCTGAAAGTGTCTGTTTTTCCCTTACCCTCGCGAGTCCTCCTTATCTCTTTTGAAGCCCAGGGCCCTTGCTTCCCCCCACAGCCTCTGCACTGGAAGCACTTTTTTTTTTTAAACTTCAAGGGGTGTTGCTGTCTGAGGCATGTGCATGTGGATGGAGCTTTGGAAAACACTGTGTTGGTCTCCAGGTTTGTCTGCCCAGTTGCTGTCACAAAATAGCTTCCAGTTAGCTACACTTGTTTGGAGTGGCAGGCACCAAGTGATGGCCTGGGAAAGGGTCAGCCTCTCCTGGGATGACCTGTCCAGTCTCAATTTACTTGGTGTATTAGAAGAAGGGAGGGTGTGTGTGTGTTTGTGTGTGTGTGTGTGTCTGTCGTCTGTCTGTCTGTCTGTCTGTCTGTCTGTCTGTCTGTCTGTCTAAGGGTTGTAGGGACAGGAGTTATAACTCAGTGATACAAAATGCCATGCAAAGAAGTGGATCAGTTGACAGAGTTCAGACACTCCCACTGAAGTCCCTTTGCTTTGTGTAAATTCTTCTAAGTGGAGTTCCCATTATCTATCTAAGGGTGCGTACTGTACCTGCCTATTTTCTGGCCTGTCTCAAAATCCAGAGTTGCTGCCATTTATACAACCATAAAATCTCATCTTTTTTTAGTAAAGTACTTTAGTCTCTCTCTACAAAAGCTGCTCCCCTTCAAAATACAGCTGAAAATCTTGTAAGTTCTCTAGCAATGATGTGAGCTGTCATGTAATATCTAATGAGGCCTCTTCTGGGAGGGCTTCTTTAACATGACACTTCTTCCAATAAGCTACGGCTCACACTTTAACTGCTTGTCCACCATTTTCTCAATAGACAGTTTAAAGTGGGCAGAGACCTCAATCTGTTTTCTCACCTAGCACAGTGCTTTGCATGTTATGGAGGCTCAGTAAACATTTATTTACTGGGTAGATGAACTAAGTTGACATTGGTTATCAGTGTCTCATAGGACCATACCTAGAAGAAGACACTGATACAGTCAGGTGGGCTAAGGTGACCAAGTCTCCCAGCTGTTTGCTCAAGCCTGAGGGCTTTACCAGGATAAAAGAATTTCCTAAAGCAGGCCAGGGCAATCTGAGATTGTTGATCACCCCCAGGAAGGGAGCATATGGGAGAAAAATCCCAGCAAAGGGAAAGGGAAAGGTAGGATGGCCCATAGGCCAATCCCCGCTCCTTTATGGATCAGTCCTACACTGGAGGGGAGTGGTCAATGGTTACCCATGTCTGCTGCTTTGGACTTAGTTCTGGTTCTTTGGTGAACGGGGGTGGGAAGGTGACATAGAGGAAGAGGTGGCAGATGAGGTGGGAGGGACCGAGCAGATGGAATGCAAATGCTGGTGAACGTGGAGAGTAAACAGCAACAAGAAGGAGACAACCAGCCTCTTCTGATTATCTCCACAGCACCATCATCATGTCCATAAGGAAGCAAGAGGCTTGACTTTCAGCTCTGGTCCTAGTTTTCCCTACAAAGAGCTGGGTGACTTTAGACAAATCACTAAACCTTTCTGGGTGTCAAGAAATTGTGTGATTCTTTATAGTCCTAAGGTTAGCGCGTATCCTAATCGCCAGATGGAGTTAGACCACAGCTGGTTAGGCCTACCCTGATAGTTTCCCTCCTGAAGAGGCTTAGAAGTTGTGCCTTTTGAAGTACCAGACCATGTTCCTCCTGCTGGGCAGGCACCTACACATCTGAAAAACCGCCTTCCTGCCCAGAGTCTCTAGTTTCAACTGCAACTTGACTGACAAGTTTACCCTCACACAAGTTCCTTCACTTTTCCTGGTCCCAGCTCTCAAGTGATGAAAGGTAAGACGAGATGAGTTAATGTGAGAAAAGTCATTGGCCCCTGTGCCTTGGGCCCAGCAACTGCTCAAGTGAGGAGTGCTGCACTGTAGCATGTCCAGGGTGCCTAGAGCTGATGGAGGACACACTTAGGTCAACCTAGATGGACAGAAAAAAGGCTGTCTCTCACCAGGTGCTACGCAGACCATTCCTAAACCTTCACAAAGCCAGTGGCCTCACCACCCCCATCCCATCCAGACCCCAGCTCCTCCTCATGGAACCTCTTTGGGCCATCACTGAGACAAGCACCTGCTCCCTTCTCCCCTAAGCTGCTTGGAAGTTTTCCCTGCGGTTGGACTAGATTTACTCCCTCTGTCAGCCGGCTTCTGCTCAGCACCCTTGTGACTACAGAGACAGCTGGCTGGGACTGTGAAGTGGGAGAAAAGTTAACCAGCCCAGAAAGGAATCAAAGTTCGCAAAGAAGACAGCCTCTCTAATTGGTCCGATAAGCCACTGGCAGGACCAGCAAAACCTTTGGCAGCGCGAGGTGGGTGTCAACAACAGCTGACAACAGGCTTTGCCCTTTGGTTCCCTCCGCTGTCATAACATTCTGACATTAAGATGCCTTTGTCCTGTTATTGTTGTGGGTGCCTCTATGTCCTGGCTTCTTAGAGATAGTGGCATTCTCGTTTTGAGGGAAATTCTTCAGCAAGCATAAGAGAATGTCATCTCGTTTCCTCAGACTGTTGACACTCATTTTCATTCCAAACAAACAAACAAAACAAATAAGGAAATTATTAAAGCAAATCCAACTTTTAAGTGATGGTCACGGAAAAACTGACTAGCCCAAATCTTGACTGGCCATAAATGTTCCCTCCTCATCTCTCCCTCTAGTTCCTCACTGCTGCAGCCACAGTGGCCTTGGAAGATCCTGGCTTGGTCCCAGTGGCCCTTCCTATGATGATTGACATGGGCAAAGCCCACACATATCTCCCTGCAAATGTGGTGCACACAGCTATCACCAAGATCACCACAGCCCCTAGATTAATTCTGTGGAAAGCTGGCCACTCTGAGCCAGCGTATTTTGATTATAAGTGATTTCAGTGGAGCACACAGGCTTGTAAATAGTTGTTTGCAGCCTGCTTTCTCCCATGAACTCAGGGTTTCTTTCCTATAATAACATTCTACTGCTATAATGACTTTCCCAGAGGTTAGTTGTTTGAACTTCCCTTCAATGACTCATTGGGAAATTCAAAATGATTCTTCCCTGGGCAGCATACATGGGCTTCCCAGACCCGAGTTCTCCGTCATAAGCATGCTTCCTAGTCTCAGAATCCCTATCAAGTCGGAAGAGTCTCAGAGATGCATCTGTACATGCAGGCTTAACCTGCATCCTTGGCTGGGTTTGTCATTCAGAACTCTAGGCTAAAGCATGTGTTTTCTTTGAGGGAAAACTCTAGAACTTGTTGAACTCTCAGTAGGGTTGGAGAAATCTTGATTTACAAAAGAAAGACAAATTGAACTCTCTCAATGGACAAATAGAAAAAGAATCCCGAAGGAATGATTGTCTGTGAAACTCTGACAACTTAAGGACAAAATTGGAGGAGGAACGAGGACTCTTGATGCTCATTCTCATGTTCTTCTCACAGCCTTGAACTTGGGCACTACAAATATAAAACTACTTTTACTGCTGCCATTATTGCTGTCAAAGTACCAGGAAATCAATGTACTTAACTGAAAGAAAATTGTGCCAGAAACACGCTACGCAACATCAGTACCTTAGCGTATTTGACAACCCATTCAAACCAATACTCTGGTTGTGAAGCGTTTTATTCTCCAGGTTCCCAGTTTTAATCAGTAAAACCACTCTCACCAAGACCATTTTGGCCTGGAAAATATTTCAGTAATGAATACAACTGGGCTGTAAGAAAGTTTAAGTGATGAAGACTGAGAAACTACAGAAAGCAGGGGTGTCTGACTTCAGAGTGGGGGTGGGAGTAAGGAGGATGGGCACAGGCAGGGCACAGCCTTCAGAGCCTACCTTTCCACATTCCCCAAGCCGTTCCTTCTCCAAAAGTTTCTGGGACTCCTTTTCCCAATAAGCCATCAGCGCCTCTCTGCTGAAGTTCCCCGTGGGGGTTTTCTCCGTCAGACTCTTCTGCCTCATCCCCACAGGAAGGTTCCGGTCAGGCTCAATGTCCTCCAGCTCCCTCTCAAGCTCCTTAAGCTCCTCGGCCGAGAGGGAGGCCAGAAGTTCATCCTCATCGATGGATTCATATTTACTAAGTCCCCTTCTGTAGCCAAACGTAGACATGGTCCCAGCCTCGTCAGACCCCCCAAGAGCTTGAAGAACCAGGCATTCAAGGCAAGCAGGGGCTGACAGGGAGGCAAGCGTCAGGCTGCTCGGCAGCTGGTGTGAGGAGTGGCCTCAGGAGCCTTTTAAGAGTGGTGATGCAGGGCTGTGACAATGTGGAGAGGGTGAAAGCATGGGCTGTTTTAAGCATCAGACGTCAGCTAGACATTTGAACACAAAGAATGTCACATCAGTGGTGGATGGAGGTCTCGGAACCAGCAGGGATTATTCGCAACAGTGGCCAGAGCCATATTTAGCTGAGCCTGATAGCTGGTGAGGACAGGCGGAGTGTTTCAGATAGGAGGTGACATGGTTCTCCTTACTCTGTGCTCAAACAAACGATAAAGTTTGTTTTGCAAATGTCTTGCCACAGACACCGCGGTGATGAACGGACTCTTTCATTATGAACTGAGGGTGGAGAAACAACTCCACAATGTCCTTCTAGATACATATCTGGAAACATTCCTGGGTGGTGTGATGGGGACAGAAGTTATGGTAATACAGAATTATATTATTTATCGTGCTTTGCAGTATACAAAGCCCTGCCATACAATTCCCTAGTTGTATGTACTTTAGACTAACAGTTTGACCCTCACATTTACAGATTTTGGCAATTTGAGACTGAGAGATTAAGTGAAACTCCTGAAGGCTGACAGCTGGAAGGGCAGAAAGTGTCTTCTCTGCATCACCAAATGGCTGCCTTCTCCTTCCCATGTGTGAGTAGAAACTGGATTATTCTAATTTATTGAAGATTGATACTATGACAGCCCAAAGCTAAACACTCTGTCTACTTTTTATCATTTAATCCAAAAATCATATGAAGAATATTATTATTACCCATATCTAACAAGCAAAGACCCCTGAGAGGTTGAGTAACTAGCTTAGGAAAACAAAGCTAAGAAGTAGAAAGGTCTAGAATTTCAACCCAGTTGGTATCTGGGCTGAAAGTCAGAAAGACATTAATTTTTAACTATACATATGCATTCATTCTTGTGAAGATGTTATATTATCTGTGGAGTTTGTAGAATTTCATACTAATTTTAGAATACAGATATATAAAACTATAGTAAAATGTGTGTGTAGAAATACAGATATACCAACACTTGCACAACATAAAATACTTATGCTTTCAACTGAACTGCTGGTGAATATTCGGATTATTTCTAGGCTTGGGCTGTGAATAATCCTGCCAATAACACTTACCTGAAAGTCTTTGAGTACTCATATGGCTTTTACTTCTCTGTAGGAGAAACATGAGGTTGTAGGGTAAACTCACTTTTAGTGAAGTTACAAAACCATTTTCCAAGATGGCTCATGCATTAATTCCCAACAGTGGGGGGAGTTCCAGTTTCCTTACATCACCTGTTATTGTTTGTTTTCCTGGTCACAGCCATTTTAGTGAGGACAAAATGGTGGCTTTCAGCTTCCTAGTTACTAAAGATGTTGAGTGTAGTTTCACGTGCTCATTGGCCCTTGGTAAAATATTCAAATTTTGTGCTTATTTCTAAATTCAGTTGTCTTTTTACTCAGTTGTGAGCTGTTTATATATTTGAAAAACAAATATTTAATGTGACAAAAGATTTGTATATATTTCCTCTCATTTTTTGCTTTGCCTTTTAGTGTTTTTAGAAGAGTAATTTTTAATGCAGTTCTCCTTGTCATTTTTTATTCAATCAGTTGTTTCTTGGTGTTTATAGTTACAACATCATTTCCTACTCCCAGAGTGCAAAGATTTACTCCTGTGTTTTTGCTCAAAAGTTCAGATTTGCTTTATAGGTTTAGGCTTATGACACATTTTGATCAAAAGTTTTATGCATGTAGAAAGTAAGATATACATTATAGATATTGATAGATATAGATATCTACTCATCTTAACACTATTGGTCCATAAGACTCTCTGGTAAATTGTTTGACCCCTCTGTGGATTTACTGAGCATCGATGTAAGGATATCTCCTGGGCGGTTCTGGTCTTTTGATATGTGTGTCTCTGCCAAAGCTCCATCAGCTCACTTTCTGTAGCTTTTTGATGCAGTTGAAGTCAGAGAGTGTGAGTTCTCTAACTCCATTCTTTTGCATGAATGATTGAGTTAAATATGTTTTCTTTTAACTCATAGTGTTCTGCCTTCAGAATCAAAGGACACATTCCAGAAATGATATTCAGAGAGAGAATAATGAAATTATAAATGATTAACTGACTTTTTAAAATTACTTTTGTATTTTGAATATAGGGAATATTTGTTCCTATTTCTGAGGTTCAATGTAGCTGTGATTCATTAGCACACCGAGTGATGGTCAATTCAGGTAATTAACAGCATTGGGATTTGTTTCATATTTTGAACCAGTAGCATATATTTTTGTGAAGCACATGGTGTTTTTTTTTTAATTAAAAGATGGATTTGAGTTTTGACAGTGCCATTCTTATGATAGATATTTAAATCTGGTAAATGAAATGAATTATTCAGCTCAACAATGACATTTTGCATAAAAATAATCACAAGTATGCAGAAAAAACAACTGCTTTTTTGTTTGTTGATTGTTTTTTGTTTTTTCCAGACAGGGTTTCTCTATGTAGTTTTGGTGTCTGTCCTAGAACTCACTCTGTATCCCAGGCCAAAATGGCTTCGAACTCTCACAGAGATCCGCCTGGCTCTGCCTCCCGAGTGCTAGGATTAAAGGTATCGCCACCACTGCCCAGCAAAACAAAAGACAATAAAATGTGTATAGATTGTAACACAAACTCGTTATTAATGACACAGGAGACACATGGCACATTGGTCAGAATATTTGGGAGTAAATAATTATGTAAAATTAGGACAACTGTGTTTTACTCTTTTCCTTTGTGTTTTTGATCTATATGATTCACTTTTGTCTTGAAATTTACTGAATACACATCATATGTTAGACTTAAATTGATATACTTGGATTAGATCAATGAATGAAACCAACCGAGTCCTGTTCTTCACAGAGAACAATATAAACAACAGAGACTGGTGTGGCTGGAAGTTGTCCTGTGTCCCGCCTGTCCTGCAGCTGTCCCACAAGCTGACACGCAGAGGCTTATATTACTTACAAACTGAATGGCCTGATGGCTCAGGCTTCCTGCTAGCTAGCTCTTCTATCTTAAATTAACCCATTTCTAGTAATCTATGTATCGACACATGTTCCGTGGCTTTACCTGTGTTCCTTGGTCGGCTCCTTGTGTCTCTTCCCTTCTGCCTTTCTTCTTCCTGTCTGTCTGCTTGTATTTCTTGTCTGCCTCTAAGCTACCTTGTCATAGGCTAACACAGCTTTATTTATCAACCAATCAGAGCAACACATATTCACAGCATCCAGAAGGACATCCCACGGCAGACTGGAGGGGAAGCAAGGCTTGCAGAGGGCAATATTTCATTCCAGAAGATTTCTATAATGAGATGGGCACTTGAACACATCCAGAAAAGGGCTCTATGCATGCATATTATAACACACATGATGTGGTACCATGAAATAATTGCACAGATATTCTTTAGAATAATAGACTTGGATTTCAAAGGACCTTTGAAATATTCAATCCTCTGTCATTTCTATCTGTATTGCATTTAAACATCATCAATAAAAATAGTCCTTGACAAATGGCTCTCAGCTCTATGGAAAACTCCTCTTTATATTGGACTGAAAATGGTTAGAAAACCACTCCGTTTATGTTTAGTTTCCTCATTGAATGACCCAGAATAAATATAGCCTTGCATGAATTTCTTTTGTCAAGTCTTGAGTGTCCCATAAATGACTCTGAAAGTGACTCCAAAGGGTCAGCCTTAAAATGTCTTACCATGTGACACCATCACTGAAAAACACTTGCCTCTTGATAATACCTACCTCTTAAGAACAATGGCCTCTTAAAACATCTTAGCACAGTTACTGTCAGTCAGTGTGATTGTAGCAATCATAACTCAGTCCCAACCAGACTTCATGATATCTACTCAGAAGTATTTTCTACCAACTTTAAGTCCATTTGTTAAAATTCTGCCATGTGACTGAACATCCCTCGCTTTGATTTGTAATGGATAGTATAAATTTTCTTGGAACTTTTTTCTTTTCTTCTTCTTCTTTTTTTTAACATCAAGAAAAAAAAAAATCCAGCCCAGCAGTGGTGGCTCAAGCTTTTAATCCCAGCACTCAGGAGGCAGAGGCAGGTAGATCTCTGTGAGTTCAAGGCCAGCCTGGTCTACAAAGTGAGTTCCAAGACAGCCAGGGCTACACAGAGAAGCCCTGTCTTGAAAAACAAACAAACAAACAAAAGAAAAAACAAAAAATCCAGTTGTACAGGTGTTCTGAGAGTCAGCATTTTATATTTTGGAATTTTCACTTGGTGTATTTAGAAACAATGTATTCATTGTATTTAGAAACAATGATAGTATAAGACAACAAAACCTTTTCAAGATTAGTATGTCTTATTTAAAAAAAATCACTGCCTTGGTGAGAATTTTTTGTTGTTGTTGTTCTTGATTTGCTGATTCACTAAGATATATAATGTCTCGTGATACTGTCAATTCCTCGTTAAGGGAAAACTGAGTTTTCTCTTTCAACCTGTTGGGTTTTTTTCCCTTCTAGTTTTTCCCTGGTAATGTTCCTGGCTGCTTGTCCACACAGTCACTCTCTACTTGCTGTGAGATATGGCTGTGCTGCGAGCTAGGGCTGCGGACAGGAAAATAGAAACCAATTCAGTCTCTGCCCTCAAGGAGTTGAGACTCCAGGGAGAGAGTAGACAGCTGGCAATAGCAGTGCCCAGAAGCCCAGCCAGGGGCCGGGGGAGGAGCCAGAGCCCTGCACAGAGCAAGATGTGGGCCAAGTCGGAGAAGGCAGGGCGGTGGGAAAAGGTTCCAAGAAGAGAGCAGCCTCCGAGTAAGTTCCCAGGAGGAAGAGAACAAGAGTGAACACTGTTTGACAGAGGAGGGGAGGGAGGAGGCAGAGGTGGAGACTAGGCAGAAACTTTCCTGATTCAAGGAATTGCTAGGAAGGTGGCACCCACCACATTCTCTACTGACTATCAGTACTGTGCCCCACTGGTGCTGAGGGTTCATACATGTTGACTGTTAGATACGAAGGCCTCTGTAGGTCAAGCTAAGGAGGTCTTATTATCTACTAGCACTGTGTGTTTATCTCTACCATTACCCTACATAGCTGCCGTGTGTCATATTGCCTGCAAGTCTCTTGTATAGGCAAGTGCCGTGATACCCATAGGGACTCCACGAGACGGGGAGCAGAGGTCATCAGGACCATCAGTAGTACCAGTCTTCCCGGAAGGCCGATATTCTACTTGTTTTGTTTCTTTACCTTTTGAGTTTTATTTGAATATATTATACACATGGTGGAGTTTATTGTGACATTTTCTTTTTTTAGTATGGTTGTGAGCCACCACGTACTGGGAACTGAATCTGGGTCCTTTTCCAGAATCCGTTAGTGCTCTTAACCACTGAGCCAGCTTTCTAGTGCCATGATGACAGTTTCGTACATGTACATAGTATGCTTTGGTCATATTTTTGCCTCCCCTGACCACCAGTCCTTCTGTGTTCAATTTTACATTTTAGTGTGGAGTCCTCATATTAAGGTAGTAGCAGTGTTCTCCTAGACACCCATGTGCATAGAACTACCTCAGTACATAGAGGAAACTCCGCTTGTTAAAGACTATTTGGGTGATGGTTTCTGTACTATTGGTGACTGATATTTAGGGGTGTTA